GGAAAGAGGGGAATTTCAAAACCCCCATTTTCAAAATGGGGTATCACAACAAACTATCCTAAAAATTTCACTAACGTTCAGTGTTTCCGAGTCAAGGGCAACAAAAAACACAAACATTGATTTTTTATTAATAATATTATATAAGTAAAAATTGATTAACATCAGTTAAAGCATCAAATAGTTAAGTATAAAAAGTTTTTTTTTTTTTTTTAAGAAACAGAAGAAAAAAAAACAAAGATGCAATAAAGCCAATCAGTTATAGGCAAATGGCCCCAAATATGAAACAAAGCCAGAATAAAAAAACACTAAAAAATACGCCCACTGCTGTATCAGTGCCAAACAGGGACAGGGTCTTCAGAAGGCAAAAAAATAGTCCGACAGAAATAAAATTTTTTACGTATTATTCGATGTTAAAAAGGGAAAATTTTGACTTGGGAACAATCTATAGAGGGGGGTCGGCACAGAGCCGTAGGGCTGTATCGGCGAAAAACATCAAATGGAGAAGGCCCGTTCCAACGATCTCTTCCTGTTCTGATGCTGCGAGGCATTCCAGGAGTGGATGCAAGAAGAAGAGCCTGGTTTGTTTTCTAAACCAGTGTTCACCAAACTGTTAGCCCCCCCCCCCCCCACCCGCCCCCTTTTTTAAGGACCAAAAAATGCCCCTCCACCTCCCATCCTCTTTTGTCTCATGAAATTATCATCATAATGAGCCGTTGATGAAGCATATGGAGTCATCATTCGTCATCCTAAACGGTCTTTTTCCCACCCCATGCATTTGACCAAGCGTCCAATATATTTATCTCTTCGCGCTGACTCTGTTACACTACTTATTTGAGAAAGGTACAAACAGTTTATCTCTCATCTCTCTCTCTCTCTCTCTCTCTTCTCTCTCTCTCTCTCTCTCTTCTCTCTCTCTCTCTCTCTCTCTCTCTACTGTTGTCTTGGGTTCGTTCCATCCTTTACACAGCTGCACTGCAACTGTGCTGCTACCGCCCCCGGGTCAGTCCCAGCGCCCTCCCCCCCCCCCCCCTGGGGAAGGGGAGGGCAGCGCCCACTTTGGAAAACTGTTCTAAACGTGTTTAACTATTTTCAGGTAGCAGTTGTAGCTTCCTTACCTGCAGTTTCTGTATCCACGATTTGTTACTGGGAGTGTCAAGTGTTTATGTCCCACTGTTTTGTTTGATCTTATTAATTAGGGCATTGTCCTCCCGCCCACCCCCTCTCAGCGCATTAACAATTAATCGGTTTGTGGTAAAGCCGGTCAGAGACGAACTGCAAAATGTGAACGTTGTGGTATTGCAAGATCAGCTAGTACCCGGTGCGGAAACTCTCATGTCTCCACGGATGCTGATATATGTTGAAGGGCAGCAAGGGACGTGTCCAGATTGCGCTGTGACGGTAACCTAACTAGTGCCCTTGTGAGATGGCCAGCTGTGATCGCTTTCTCGATACGGAACATTGGTGATGATGCCCATCTGGTTAGAGTTGTCTCCAACCGTCCCTTATATTCAGACAACACAGTGACGCCCTCGACAACATTCTCAAACACAACCAGCGCTAATTAAAAGATAACAGACCCCTTTTTTGCAACAGAACAACAACTACAAGACAGCTGACATCGCGGGCACAGGTACACGTTAAAGTTGTTGAGGTTCAGCCCCGATGTATGTGGGTTTAGTTCAGCCAGCGACCTTGTATTATTGTGTAGTGTGCCGTGTGTGTCCCGAGAGACCGTCCCTGCTCCGGATGGGCCACGCACTATCTCAGCAGTAATGCCAGTAATGGCCAGCAAATATCACACAACCGTTCTCTGATATATGTGGACCATAGAACTGCTTGCGCTGGCGAAGCGCCCTCAAAGTACGGACGTTCGTCCCTGTATATAAGCACAGAAACCAGACATTGTGGCTGTGTGTGAACTTTTGGGCCACTGTTTGTAGACATGGACGTATATATATATAAATGTTATGTAGTGACCCTCGTTAAATGTGAATTACATTTCAAGTGTAACTGCACTGATTGAAAGAAAGAGTCTGCACTGACGTCAAATGACAGGATAGGAATTTCATCTAAATTTGAATATATACTTGGCGAAACCTTGGAATTGTGTGAATTGGTTGCTGTGCAAAGTTTGCACCTCTACTAAATAGATAATATATTGGTATGGTAGTTTATTCTTTATAAACTATGTGTGTACATTTGTATTACATTTCTCCCAGCATGAAATGCCTTTAGTTTTTGTTATTATTATTTATGTTTTAGGTCAGGCTAAGTTTTCTGCTAGCCAAAATATTGAAAATATGGATCTCGGCATGGAGCAAAGTCCCAAGCCCCATTATGAAAATATCATTAATACAGTACAACTGGCAAAGATCCATGGGCCACTTGCTAGGGCTCTCCGGCCTGGCAGTGTGGTAGCCCTGCTCTATGTTAATTCATTGTGACTGAAGATTTTGAACAGCTGTGTTAATTCTGGGCTAATTATTAAACATCCAGTAACTTCTTTAGTATTCGCCCTGGAAAGCAGAGTAGGCACATTGTTTTATGATCTAGAGCAAGGCTGCAGTATATGCACCTTTTTGCTCAACACATCCAATTTCAGGAAACCCCTACTTAACTGCCCTTTATGACATGCTTCACATGGAAGCAATGATAACTAAGTCCACGACAACTAGTTTAGAATTTCAGCAGCTGACAGCTTTCACTATAACAGAAAAACATTTGTTATGTCTGTCAGCTAAATAAAAATATTGAACATTATTTACTGTACTACACGAAATATCTTCAAAGGACCTCCCTGAATGAATATGATTCACTGCAATAAGCCTATGACAGTAAAATTCATGATGGGAGTGGATAACTAGAGAACTACCTGGAAGGTTTAAACAGTACATCACAAGAACAGGGTTTCCATTTAGCGTATGAGATGTTCATATATCTTAAGACAAAATAATGGCATCCCTGGTCACTTAAAAATCCACAAAGACTATGCAGTTTATTTGTTTTCATAGTTTCAGAGTACACTTAACATTTTACGAACTTGACAATCTATAATACAAGTTTATGTAATTAATACATAAGCTTTGCAATACTGAATAACCAAACATAACAGATAAGTATAAATATCCAATAACGAAACAAACAAAAGACTATATATCCCAATTGTAACCCAGTTGGGTAGAACATAAAATTGTTTAAATTACTAAAACCATCGACAGATTGTTTATCATATCAGTGAATGAAGTGTTATCATAGTTAACTTTACAGCAGTGTGTACATTTAGAACACTTAGCAATCGACACACCTATATCATAGTAATCGCTGTCTTCACCAAATTAAGTTCACATCTGAGCAAACATTTCTGGGTGCTTCTTCTACCAGCCCCAGTAACTTGATACAAACTGTTTAATAGTTTTCTTACATTCATTAGTGTTGGTTGATTCTCATAAGGGATTCATACAGATGGTTCAATCTCAAGAGGCAAATGAAGTGCTTGGGGGTTCTTAGCAAAAGTTAATGGTCAACGTTTGGTGCAGGAGAGCTTAGCATTTGCTACCATAGCATCCATTATGAGAATGGAGGTGGAGGTTTGTCACTGCAGCTTTTCCCTGAATAGAGAACATGATACACACACACATATTGTGATTGTAACTGACCCGGAAAGCATGGTGCGAAGGATGAGGACAAGCATGCTTTGCTTCGGAGGACATGGATGAAGAGCATTCTCTGGATCTTTGCTCCGGGAGATGCTGATGTGTTGGAAAATGAACAGGTGAACAGACTGGCTGGCTCTGCACAACTTGGTGAAATATTGGTGCTTGAAAAGGCATATGACACTAAGGCCTTACGAGAGCACATGTACAATTTGATTATCACAGTCTGGTGAGAGTGATGCAATGAGGAGTGAGGAGGCGGCTCTGGCTGATACTTGACATTCAGAGAAAAAGCCAGACAAACATATAATCAGACTGCTTCTGGCACCGTTGGTATTGGAACTACATTGGCTGCTGAAGATGGGAACAGAACACTTATGGGAATGCCCTGAGAGCTATGATGTTGGCTCTTGAATTCACTCAAGTGATTAGGGTTCAAGTAGACATCTGAGTGTGCAGCAGACATTCAGCATTCTGGGCTCTTGAGGTTTATTGCTGCAAGTATGTATACACTGATTTGACGTGAACTGATTTGACATGAGAGCTAAATATTCTAAGCTCAGTGGATTCTCACCATTGATGTGATTGGTTAAATGCTGTTTAGTCTAAACATATTTGGCTCCACCATATTCTCTAAACAATCCATTTCTCAACATTTTACATGTTTACACATTTTTTTAAAAAATTGTGTATGTATGTTTTCTTCCAGGAATAATCTTTTAATGAGCAGACAATGAGCTCCGCACCAGACGTAATCATGGGTCAGGCTGAGTCATTAATCTCAATGACAGACTTGTTTGTCCTGTCCCTGGCCGGAGGGTTCGCAATGTACTGGTTTGTGTTTCGCAACAAAAAACAGGAGACACCAAATTTCAAGAAACTCACTGTTGCGTAAGTAGTCCTGCTCTTCTGTGCTTGTGGACAGTCAGTGTTATATTTCATGGAAACAAAAGCAATCAAAATGTCGTGTTTTGTGTAATCAAAAACAGTTTAAATATGTCCTATCTCATCTAAATAAAAACAATCTAATGTGCCATATTTCATGGAAACAGAAACGATCAAATACAGAAGTCCTGAAGAGACTGGGAAAGACGAGAGCTTTTGGCAGAAATAAACAAGAACAAGTGAAACATGAATGAAAATAACACTTTTGTAAAAGCCATGCAGGAGGAAACAGTTGAAAGCAAGCCACTTTGAGGCAGACAGCGATACAAATGAGGGGATAACATCAAGAGATGGAAAAATAGCAGTTTGGAATAGAGTACCTCCAGGGTTAAAAAAAAACAGAGCATTCTGGAGATCCATTTCTAGTGGTGGACTGTTTGTGTTGGCACTTCTGATGGCTCCCTTGTGTTTTCAGTATGTGTGTATGCTATTGTTGGCTTTGCTGAGATCACAGCCTGTGTCAGTAATTTCACAGGGAACAGTGGTGGACATTCTGTTTGGTTTTTGTTGGTACAGGAACATAATAACTTTTAGGTGGCCTGTTGAAACTGTGATTACTTGTTTACTTATCTTTTTCTTTATCTTATGATCAGATTGACAGGTTTTAGTTCTTGTTTAGTTCCATAGAACTTTGAGTATGATATTAACTCTCTGGTTAAATATTTCCTTCTTTTAATGGGCTATACAAGGGATATTCTTGCAGAAAATGTTCTGTAGTCTGCACACGCACAGCCCGCATGGGCACAATTGTGAACTACTTAGATGAAACCTGTTCATATGCTTGTTAAGTTCGTTATGCCCTGTCCTGAGGCGTAGCATGATGACCTTTTCTCTCAAACTATGTTTTTGCATTGTCTTCCTTTTCACATTCTGCCACTTTCTTAGTTTGCTTATCCGCTGTTTCATTTCCTGATGACCTGTCAAAGAAGAGAATAAGATGAAGAAGGGAACTGGACTCCCTATCCGGTATGTCATAGTCTAGAAACTGTGAGACCTGACACCTCACACAGCAATGGGGGTAACTGATATGGGACTAATTTTACTTGTTGTGTAGACCAAGACTCTTTGGTACGATTTTTAAGATGTATATTGTTGATGTTGAGTTTGTGCACTGAGCTGAGATTCTCCCTGTGTGATCTTTATAAGACTGGAGGTGTCAGAGTAATTCTTTTACATAAAGCAAATATCCCATGGCAGAATCCAAGCCAGAGTTATGTCAATATATATAGAGCGGCTACTTAATGATATTTTGTGTACTTTCCAGCTCTTCTTCTTTCTTTTAATGATGTTTCTTACACTAACCAAAATATTTTTATGACATTCTGTTTACCCCCAGCACTTTGCCTGACATTCCATGTTATATCCAGTACTTCATTTGACATTTTAACCTGCTGTGCAATAGTTTAAATGATTTTTCCTTTACTTTTGACCCACTAGATGAAATTGCATGTACTCTAATCCCACTAGATGACATTTCAAGTACTCTAATCCCATTAGATGATATATCATGTGCTCTAATCTCATTAGATAACATTTCATGTACTCTAAACCCGTTAGATGACATTTCATGTACTCTAAACCCGTTAGATGACATTTCATTACTCTAAACTTTTTAGATGACATTTCATGTACTCTACAGCCATTAGATGACATTTCATTTACTCTAAATCCGTTAGATGCCAATTCATGTACTCTGTAGCAGAGTTTTTCAAACCTAGGAGCCTGGCAAAGTCTAGATGGTCTGCCTGAATTTTCTGCCTGTCATATAACTGGGTGTGGTAGGTAGTTTCTTCACTACCAGGTTTGAAGTGCGAAGGTTTAACACCCCATTTATGAGAATCGGGCGGGTACAAATCCCGCAAAACCCCTAAAACCACATCAAATTATATTAGAGCACCTGATGGTACGTAATGCAACGGTTACATAACCCAGGGGTTAGAACAGTTATGTTTCTGTGTTTGGCTAGCTGTCAGGTGGTCCGCAAAAAAGTTTCCCCTGTTTTGGTTGGCTATGGGTGTAAACAGACTGAGGAACACTGCACTTCGGATGACAGTTCCTATACTGCCCAGTACTCAAGTTGACAGTATCACTTGCCAGTAAGGAGTATAACTTATGTTCTTCTAATAATTTTACAGACCAGTGTTAGAAAGATCTACATCCAGTGATGCATCCTTTATAACTAAAATGAAAAATACAGTAAGTACATCCCTGGAACATCTCTTGTCTTCTTTATCATCATCTTCATAATAATCATCATCTTCATCGTCACCATAATCTTCATCATCATCGTTGTAATCTTCATCATCTTTATCGCCACCAAAATCTTCATTATCATTGTTGTAATCTTCATTGTCATCATTATAATCTTTATCGTTATCGTTGCAGTCTTCATCATCTTAATCGTCACCAAAATCTTCATCGTCATCGTTGCAATCTTCATCATCATCGTTGTAATCTTCATCATTATTGTTGTAATTTTCATCACCCCAAGTTGTGCTAGCCACTGTCAGCCATCGTACTTCTCCCTTCTGGTGTAGAATGCCCAGCTCACATGCATCATCATCTTTCCCATGACCTGCTTAGAGAACCTAATTTATCCTCCTGCTTTACGGCCGTATTTTATATTTTTCTCCTCAGTTTTGAGGCCAAGAAGTGACTGAGACTTTTGATCTCAGCATTAAGAAGCTGCATTTGCCAGCTCTTGCCTGGCAGCCTAAAGGTCTTGAGTTCAGGTCCACACACACATTTTTTTCATCAAAATGCCCTAGCAAAAATGTGGCATGTTTGATGTTGACTACATCACCATCAAGTGTCCAGTGTCTGACACTATGAGTTGAATAATCTTTGCACATGCTGTGCATTTAATTATGCATTTACTATTCTTGGAATAATGATTATGTTCAATATTCTCAAATAATCTTATTTAATGATTACAGATGGCTCTTTGGTTGAGAGGTTAGTTAATGTGTTTCACAACCCTGGATGTACCAGGGTTTGATTAGCATGGTTAGCAGTTTAAGAAAAGACATTAGCATGACGTTAGAAAAGATTGGAGACTCATTTGATAAAAGATTGAGGCGTCACTGTCATTTGTTTCTTAAATTGAAAAAAAAAAAAAAACACTGCAGTGGTTATAATGCATATGCACTGCTGTCTACCTCCATAATGGAGATGGCATAAATATAAAAAAAATAAATGTTATTTTATGACACGACAGAAATGGAAATTGGGTTGATAAAAATGTGGGTAGAATGAAGACAACGCATGCAGGGCTTTATGATTGTGACAGAAATATTGAGGAGTTACATCATCTTGTGACAGGTTATGCTAGTCAAACTGCCAGGTCAAGTAGAGCAGACATAGATTAAACATATTGTGTTTAGAATGCAAGCAGGCATGGAGAATTCGTTTCAGTACAATATGTAACAGCTCATGCATGACACTTCAGATCTCAAATATTTGAATTAGGTGTTTTGTTTAGCTTCCTATGTGTGAATCAAAGCTGGGGGAGTTCGACCATCTGTGTGTATGAAGCTTATATGATGAATGTCATGAACACTCTGTATAGCCAGAGTAACTAAAAAAGATTGCTTTGGAAAAGTTTATGAAAGTAGAAAGTTTGTAGAAGTAGAAGAGTCTTCTTCTTCGTCACTTCCTCTTGTTCCACTTCAGATGTTGAGGGAGATATAAGGTTTTGCCTCTTGCTCTTCTGGTCACCTCAACCATCAATATATTATGCTGTTCAAGAGTTTATCTAATGTTATCTGGTTTTTAGTCTACCTCATGCTGTGTGTCTATCTCCACTTGTGGTAGAAATGAACTCTTCTTTATAAAGAGGTAGTATTATTTGGTCATGTAATCAGAAACCTGGTATTTAGAACATTGTGACAAGGCAGAGGTGTATCATGAAGCCAGTATGTCCTACTATGATGGAATCGTCGAGAAATAACTTCATTATTGTGAACACCGAACACCAAGGACCTGTCTGTGGGGAGTCATGAATGTTTAAGCCTTTTAGCAAGGTATAAGATGGTGATGATGATAATGAATACTGCAGATAAAAACTGTAGAAAGAAGAGAAAAAGACTTTTCCCAGGACTCCAATTACCGAGAACAAAACACCTTAATTTACCATTTAAATACACGGTCCTTCCTGGCAGCTGTGAATGTGAATCAAAAGAAGCAGTGGAGAGTAAAACATTTATGCCTGCTTGTCCTTCTCTCTCCTGTCTAACTCCTGGCATGTGGATTTGAATATAGTTCTGGTTTTGTTATACATCTGAGACATTCTTGTGTTTGTTAAAAGTAAAGGACTCTACTCCATGTCCTTAGGCATATTGGGTGTATAGGGCTAGACCTATATTTTATAGTCAGTCAGCACTCGGTGGGTGATATGGTCAGCATTTTGCCAGTCACATTTACTTCTCAGGACTGACTTTACCTAAAAGCCAAAGGCATTTTTTAAAAATTAAATTCGACTCGATATGGATTTGAACATAGGACACATGTCCGAGAGGAGCATCTTGCCATCTAGGTATTTGTTCGTTTAGGTGTATATCATCATCAAGTGTTTTATTGGTAGCATGGGTGTTCATATTTGTTCACAAGTCTGGTGTTTCATTGTGTCAGTTGTTTCATTGTTTTTTTTTTCTTCTATCACGTTTGTTTTTCCAGTTTTTTTTGTAGTTTTCATTTTACTAGTTCTTATTTTTTGGTTTTTGCATTTTTATTTTTTTGACATGGTTTTCTTATTATGAAAGTTCTTTCTCAATTTTATTCCATTATTTTAGGTCTTTTATTATGATTTTTCTTTATCCTAATTCTTTCATCATCATTTCAAATCATTACTTTTTTTAATTGTGATTTTTCATCATGTTAAACTGTCATGCTTTTTAAAATTATTTTAGCTTTTTTTTTTTTTTTTAAAAACAATTTTTCATGTTAATTCTTTCATCATGGTTTGTTTCTTTGTTGTTTGTTCTAAAATGCTAGTTGTTTTGTGATGTCAGTTTATGGTGTGTTTTTTTTCACCATCTTATTGTATCTCTTCATGTGGTATATATTTATTTCAGGGCCGAAACGTTGTGGTATTTTATGGGTCACAGACAGGGACTGCGGAAGAGTTTGCCACACGTCTGGCAAAGGATGCTGCCAGGTACGGGATGAAGGGCATGGTTGCTGACCCTGAGGAATGTGACATGGTGGGTTTACGCATTATTTGATTCTGTAACATGTCTTGCTAATTCTGCCGGTGATTGATATAGATCAGTTGAGTATCACAGAGCACGGCACTCACTTCCCGTCGTACTCCAAGCGTTTACCAAAGGCTGAGGACAAAGATTAAAACTATGTGGATGTGGAAAGCAAGGGGAAACCGTCACATAATTATCCCAAGAAACTCATACTGCAAGATCTGACAGTGAGACCCTCAGGCCAGGCAGATCACAAACATGAAGTTGGGAAGACAACATTGACAGAGCAAGTAAGGGTAGTGGAGATGATGGCCTTAAGCAGGACAATCTTGCAGTCATTAAGGAAGAAAATATGAGCTTTTGGGCAGTAATGCTATTAAAAGATTCTCAGAATATTTTGTACCAAGAAGAACAGAAATACGGGCATCCTATAGGATCTGAACATCAAGGAAGGCTGGCTAATAAACAGCATCTTGTCTCAGAAACTAAAATATTTTCACCATATTAAGCACCACAGCAGATTGGAAAAATAATAGAAGGCATGGTACCAAGAAAGAGGTATAGGAGCTGACAAGCACGAAGATAGTAAGGATATAAGCAACACCTGTGGTAGGAAAGTGCACGAAGCAGGACGTCTAGCCAAAGATGGAGTTTCTTTTAGCCAGACCATGATGATAGCAACATTCTGCAAAGGAACTGCTACATGATGATGATTTCTGATAAGTTTTACCAATTACATCATGGACAAACATATTGGTACGCTGTCTTATGATCATCTGGGTTGTATTGCAGGCAGCAAACAGGTCCAAATGCAGTAGTGAATGTTTCTTTTTCTTCAGTCAAATGGGGAGATTAGGGATCTTCTGTTTGCTCTTTCTACTGGGATGTATAACCTGGTCTTCATTTATCTGATTCACTTTCTTGCCATCATTCAGGCTTTTGTGCAGTCTTTACCCCTTGCTGTATGTTCATCATATTTCTTCATCCCAGTTTCTTCTTGGGAATCACTGGGTAGGGAAGTCATGAAAGGAGATTAAATCAAATGAAAAGTAGACCAACAATCACAGACAGTGAACGTTATGGCCACAGAGCCTTCATCAGCATATTACATAAATCAACAAAACCACATGTACAGGCACAGATATACAAAAATCACTAAACTGACCTATTCCTGATAGCAGCCACATTTTTTTTTCTGGCCAGTGTAAAAGATTAATCTTCTATAAGTTTGCTCTACCTGTCATAGATTCATCATTTATCTTCTTTTGCATTCATCTGAAGATGTAATTGTGTTTTGTCCATTTACAGCATTACTGCAATATTTTCTTTTTCTTGGCCGACACATCCAGCTTCTTCTTCTTCTTTTGCCATCTCACTGATACCAGGTTATACCCCAGTGTCATGGTTTTCTTTATTTCTCTTGCACTTCTCGAGTGGCTTGGGTGATGCATTTTTTCATCTTTTAGCAGGTTTCAGCTATACCATTTGTCCATCTCTTTTTTGGTCTTCCTGTCGCCTTTCTCCCAGATACTCTGCTGTAAAAAAGAGGGATCTGACTTCTGCAGGCATTTATTGACTGGGTTAGCCTTCGGGGCATCATTTCTGTGTTGGTAATATATTTGTGTATTTAACTTGCAGGAAGACTTGACCAAACTGACAGAAATAGAGAACAGCCTAGCTATATTCTGCATGGCCACGTATGGAGAGGGTGACCCAACAGATAATGCTCAAGAGTTCCAGGAGTTTTTAACCAATGGGAATGGAGATTTCACTGGAATTAAGTTTGCTGTGAGTACATGTTTGTTTGAGTGACATTTGTTCAACATCCCAAACGTAAGATAAGGCAGACATTCTGAAAACTGCGTATGAATGAATGCTGATGGAAGATACCATGGTAGGTGAAACAGCTTTTATAAGGTTCCATGAATTAGGAATTAAATGTGTTCTTCTTCTTCGCGTTCACCAGCTTTATACTGGCGGAAAGTTCTGGTTGCTCGTCCACTACTGAACTGCAGTCCTGCTCCAGAACCTGACTGTTGCGTGTGCATCAGTTTTACAGATCTCATTCTCTTGAATACAGACTGTTGGTTCCTCACCTCTCCGGCATATGCACTCCGACTTCAAAGGAAGCTCCCCAATTAGTCAACTCTTACGACATGCTTTTGTGGAGGCAGTGGGTCTATCCTTGTTTTCCCCACAATGGGGCCCCGGAACCCACACGGGGGAAATGTGGACTGTAACCGGTGTATATATTTAGATATTTGCTGCCGGAAGCGGCACTTCTGTGGGTATTCCCAGTACGCTGTGTTGTTGATTCTTGGATCAGTCATCAAACATTGCATGAGTGTATGAAGTATTATAGAGAGTATTTGAAGATAACTGGTTACAGTTGTATAACTAACTGTAGATATCATGTGGCTGTAGCCGAGGATTGTAATCTTGTTCATTCTGTGCAGGGTTGTCATTGAATATTTCAGTTGTTCATATGGTGCAGTATTTTCATGTTTCAGTTCATTATGTGCACCATTCTAATTGGTTGTTTCACTTGTTAATTATATACATTATTCTTATTGAATGCTTCAGTTCATTATATACAGCATTCACATTGGTTGTTTAACTTGGTAATTATATACATTATTCTCATTGAATGTTTCAGTTCATTATATACAGCATTCACATTGGTTGTTTCAATTATTTATTATTTGCACCATTTTCATTAGATTATTCTGTTGTTAATTATGTGCACTGCACCATTCTCAATTGATGTTTCTATTCATTATATGCAGCATTCTCACTGGATGTTTCAGTTCATTATGCAATGATTCTCATGTTTCAGTTGTTCTTTGAATGCAGGATTTCCACTGGATGTTAGGTCTGTGAATTTTGCTTTTAGATCTTTTAGCTCATTGTATGGGCTGTTCTCCTTGGATGTCACAGCTGATTGTATGGGCTGTTTTGCTTGGATGTTTCAGCTGATTGTATGTGCCGTTCTGCTTGGATGTCACAGCTGATTGTATGTGCCGTTCTGCTTGGATGTCACAGCTGATTGTATGTGCTGTTCTCCTTGGATGTTTCAGGTGTTTGGACTCGGCAACAAAACATACGAGCACTACAACTCCATGGGTATCTTTGTGGACAAGAGGCTGGAAGAGCTGGGAGGAGAGAGAGTATTTGAACTGGGACTTGGGGACGATGATGCCAAGTAAGCATATTGTTTGTTATTCTAAGTGAGTAGGAATGGCTAGAGTTGGGTGTCTTTTTAGCAAGCCCCAGAATATTAGAAGCTATGATTAATGATGATCTCATTCATTCTCTGTGATCTGCCGATCCGTGTTCCAAAAAAATGACTGTAAGCACATATCACAAGTTGTTCAATAATAAAAACAATCTTTAAGATATCAGTAATTACCAGGTCCTCAACAGAAAGTGGCTCTCGCTGTGGCTCACCTGGAAAAAAATTTCCAACCAGTTCTCCAGCCCTGTGTGCTTTCATAGCCAATGTATCTTCAGTGTCTTGTATCCACATTTGCGGAGGTATGCCTCCATCACTTGTTTTCCCAGATCACCGTGGCATTTAACATGGCCAAAATCCTCACCTTGGGACAGGATGCTATTTATCTGACCATGGGACAGGATGCTGTTTATCTGACCATGGGACAGGATGCTGTTTATGTAACAGTGGGTACATTTTAAAGAGAGGGATAGAGAGAAGTAGTAGAGAGAGAGACAGACGAGAAGAAATAATAGTTAAAGGATGTAAAAGAGGACAATTGGTTCTCCTGTGTGGAGAGTGTAGTAATAAGTCTACACCCCAAACGATCAGGTAATAGTCAGTGGAGGTCTTATGAAGGAGAGAGTAGATATATAGTGGAGTGGAGGTGGTGGTATAAAGACTACAGCAACTAACAATAATAGTACCACTCCTACACTCAATAAACTAACGATTGAATAAAAGAATAACAACTAACAATCATGTTTATTAGGAAACAGAATTACAAAGTCGTCTATCTCATATTACACAACCAACAGATGTTATATTATGTTATAAACAGAACGTCCTCACACTATGAAACTCAGCAACTGACAGCAGAATCTTCTCTACTCAACGATAAACTAGCAAATGACGCCTAGAATATCCTTCATTGCTCTACAAATAATAAGCCAAATAACAGCTACAATCTAGCCATGTACTCTATTTCCAAGTACTGACTACCATCTAACCATACTGCTGATTGCAGTCTAAATATCATCTACCTATAGCCAACCCAGCACAACATAACAGAAACTGCCATGTCACCTGTTAAATATATTCAAACAATCTATAAGTTCACATTGCCAAGCATATAAACGTGAACGCAACAACATACATCTTATTCTACCCTGCAAACACTGCCCTTCTTCATACGAATAGTTCTCCCTTCAGACAGGCATTCTTATACCCTTGAATAAACCTCCATCCACTAACTCACATGTACTTCCTATTCAACACATATTACTATGTATAACTATACATGCATTATTTACTTTTACCACATGAATACCTATGCACTTCCTTTTCAACAACAACAATCTGGCTACAGACATGGCCTTGCATCCCCCACTCACTTCAACATCTGATACTTCTGTCCCGCCCCTTTACAGGTAAATTCTATTATACCCCTGTTCTGCCTTCTCAGCAGCTTGCCGAGGACAGTTAAAGCTAAATGACTTTCACTTTCCCATATCTTCTTATATTATTCTCTCTTCAAATCACAACTAAATGTTTACAACATTATAACTGCATCATGTTAATACATATGCCGTTATCATTGCCTAGCAGCGCTAACTCTGCTGTTCAATATGATACTTCACACGTCATGCTTATCTGTTATCATGACCATCACCATCATGTGCTGTGCCGGTCTTCCAGTAGTTATTGTCTTCTAACAGAATCCTATATTCTTCATGACAATCATGACACGCATAACTATACATACATAATTATACATCTTATGACATCAGTGCCCGCTGCTTTCCTCCTGTATCACAATCAAAACATCGCAGACACAGTCTGGCTGTTAGAAAGGCAGTCTGGCTGTTAGAAAGGGTCATTCTAGGGCCAGCCTGTTCATTCACCAAACCACTCTCTCTCTACCTGTGAAATCCGATATTGGGCCTCTGATCTAAATAAGAGGGCAGACTCCGTATGCTGCATGCTCAGAACGTTTCTCCTTGTTTTATAACTTTCCTTTCCTCCAATGTTCCTAGATGATGTCTGCTCCCAGAAATCATTATAATATACATATTGATACTCATACTTTGCATTAATACACTTGGATCTGTCAACATAGCATTCTCAGGTGCCCAGTTAGACGACTCGCAAGATCCAGTTAATGCACATCAGAGCAATCATCATCATGTGTCCTACCAGTAACCCAACATCTTATCTAATTACTTAACATGAACACAGTACTACTTACATAACATGAAGCAATATTTCGTGCATTATCTGGCAAGTCACACAAGTATGTGTAAGTTTAAGTATGGACTTAACTCCATCGTATCGACATCATCCGAATGCCCACAGCATCCTTCGCTGGCGAAGATCTCAGCGCAAGTGTCTTTCTGGCTACTCGCTGGTAGTGTATATACCCCTGACGCTACTTGATTCTACCTCTCTCCTTTGTACCTGAGTTCATTGTCCTTTCTCTTTCCCGCCAAAGATGGTTTTCCAAGCAACTTTGTATAGTTGGATGGAAAAACCCCAAGAAATCTTGTGTCGTTGCCTTTGTTCGTTGTCTTGTCTCTGTTAATTTATGAGTACATTGGCCTACAATAGTTCCTGCTTGGCCCCGCACCTACGCCTAAAGTCAATGCTCTCAGGGTTGCTATACTATGTAGCGACCTCCTTTATTTCAAGCGACTCTGTACCTCCTTATTCCTCCGTGTGTTTCTTTCCTTCTATTTCTTTCTTGTAATAAACGTGACTGTAATCAGTACTGTCACATTTATCTGACCATGGGACAGGATGCTGTTTATCTGACGATGGGACAGGATGCTGTTTATCTGACCATGGGACAGGATGCTGTTTATCTGACCATGGGACAGGATACTGTTTATCTGACGATGGGACAGGATTCTGTTTATCTGACCATGGGACAGGATACTCTTTATCTGACCATGGGACAGGATGCTGTTTATCTGACCATGGGACAGGATGCTGTTTGTATGACCATGGGACAGGATGCTGTTTATCTGACCATGGGACAGGATGCTGTTTATCTGACCATTGGACATGATGCTGTTTATCTGACCATGGGACAGGATGCTGTTTATCTGACCATGGGACAGGATGCTGTTTATCTGACCATGGGACAGGATGCTGTTTATCTGACCATGGAACAGGATGCTGTTTATCTGCCAGTTCTCATCAGTCCAATCTTGCAGGATGTCAGTGGTTTTTTTTTCTTTTTCTTGGACCATGGCATCCCAGGAATTTTTCTGTAGCATTTCGTTTCAGAAGCTCAGATTTGTCTCCTCAGTGATTGAATAGGTAGCCATGACTCACATCCTTAAGTTGCAGTAGGAAGATGCATGATCTCTTGTACGTTAGCTCACTTGCAGGTGCTGTACCATAGGTTGTTCATGTTATGTAATCTCTCTGTACATTGCTGAAGCACGTCTTTTCTTACTTGTTTCGTTAAGTCATCTTTATAATTCACTATTTGAGACTAATTATTAAAATCTATGACATTTTTTATCTCTTCATTATTGATTTTAAATAGGGAACACTTTTGTAAGTACCTCAACTTAATCATTTGCGCATTTAAATTATATACATATGTTCTCACAGTCTTGATGTAAATCAGTTTAATACAACTTAAAATATTATAGTCAAGATTGTGTTTTTGTCGGACAGCCTGATTTAATCTGTGTAGTTTATTTCAGTATTGAAGAAGACTTTGTCACCTGGAGGGAAAAGTTCTGGCCAGCTGTGTGTGCCAACTTTGGCGTTGAGGCTACAGGAGAAAATGTCAAGTGAGTTGTTTCAAGTATTTCAGTTAGCTTCTTCTTCAGGGAGAATAGAGGTGGAGGCAGTCACTGCAGCTTTCGGTGGCTAGAGAACAAGATACATACACATGTCATAATTGTAACAGACTCTGGCCATCTGCAATTAATGCTGAACCTGCCAGTCTATCAGCTATTTCATTGCCAACACATGCATACCCTGGGACAGATATGATGGTAACTGCACACACGGGAGAGTTTTACAATGATTCAATCCATTGTTTGCGCAACAAGCCTGCCTCGACCCGCAGTATCATGCTCAAAGAATCACAGCACACTCACACGGGAATAGTCCTGTGATTCTAGCCACATGAAAGCTTGTGTCACTGCCATCACCTACATTATCATGCTGCTGGTAATCATGGAGAAGGCACCGCTGGCTTCTTGAACTGTTCTGCCTGAAGAGCGAGTTATAAATGCTCATGCACTATTTTTCCCTCGTATAATGGACCTGTCTGTGAAGATCAGCACATCTGTCTCATCTAACTTGTCACTGATAAATATTGTTTTGATCCTGTGTTTGTTTTCCAGTCTGTTTCAGATTTTCATTTCTCGTTATGGGGAAAGTTTGCAATAAGAGAAATGAATTGCAAGATAGTGCATCAGATATATTGCCATTTTAAATAAGGTTGGACAGTTTGGAGAATCTGTGTGCAGTTTTTACAAATGAATATTAATCTGCATTTGAATGTTTTTATTAGTTGACTTTTGGCAGCGTTTCATTATTTTCATTAACAGCACAAGACAGTATGCTTTAACACCACTTGCTGACGATTTCCCCAAGGAAAAGATATTTACAGGAGAGGTAGCCAGAGTTGGGTCTTTTGCTAATCAAAAACCGTAAGTGGTCATTTGATTTGGTTCTTTTACTGATCTGTAACGTCAGTGGCAATTTTCATTAACTAAAGGCCATCTTTTGAGGTGAATTAGCACATTATCTTTACTAAACAGTGTCATGATTTGTTGTTTGACTGCATAAACATCGGTTAGTAATGTCTTATTTCATTGGCTGAAAATGTATTCATCTCTTTGTAATAAGTAAAAAAGTAAAGATCAATTTTCACGCCTTTAGGCATATCGGGCATATGGGAAGAGCACCCATATTTTTACAGATCAATCGGCACTAGGTGGGTAATGTATTTTTGGGCCATTCCCGGAAGGACTGCAATACCGGGCTGACCCATGATGAGAACTCTCTTTATAATGCCTTGCTTCATTGGCTGATAATGCGATTGTTTGCAGTGTTTTGCTTCGTTGGCTGATAATGTGATGTTGTTTGTAATGCCCTGTTTCATTGGTTGATAATGTTTTCTTCTGTGTTTAAAACCTTGTTTCATTAGTCTTTTACTTTCATCTGTTAATGTAAATTCACCATGGTTGTTTAATAATGTTATTTGTTTTGTTTAGTGTCAAATTTCATATGTTTTTAATATCATCTAAGGACATTTTGTTGGCGCCCTGCATCATTTTCACATGTCTTGACTGATTGTTTTCAGGCCATATGATGTCAAGAACCCCTACCTGGCATCAGTGACAGTGAACCGAGAGCTCCACAAGGGAGGTGATCGCTCCTGCATGCATATAGAATTGGATATCTCAGAGTCGAAGATTAGGTCAGTTTTAAACACCCATAATGGATGTGTCTGATACATAACTTTCTATATTATTTTATTATGTTCTTTTGTTGGTTGCAGAGTTAGGCATTAAGTTATATGAAAAGTAGGATCTAGTTTGAACAAGTTTATACTAAAGTCCAGAAGTGGATGAACAACTAGTACTTTTCCACTGGAGTTTGCAGCCAGTGAACGTGAAGAAGAAGAACAAGTTGACACAGACAACACTCACATGCTGGTCCAGTGGCTGTGGGATCAAGTCACCCTCAGGGTGGGATCTCCATATGACCACATGGCTTTTAGGGTCTTCCATGACTCTGGAATTTATGTTCGAATTAGGACATTAGGACATTGAGATAACACATTAATCAAGGATATCCAGGATGATTAAGATAACACACTGATCAAGGATATCCAGGATAACTGAGAAAACACACTGATTAAGAAAATCCAGCATGATTGAGATAACACACTGATCAAGGACATCCAGGATAACTGAGATAACACACTGATCAAGGACATCCAGGATAACTGAGATAACACACTGATCAAGGACATCCAGGATTACTAAGATAACACACTGATCAAGGACATCCAGGATAACTGAGATAACACACTGATCAAGGATATGCAGGATAACTGAGATAACACACTGATCAAGGACATCTAGGATGATTGAGATAACACACTGATCAAGGACATCCAGGATGATTGAGATAACACTGATCAAGGATATCCAGAATGATTGAGATAACACACTGATCAAAGATATCCAGGATGATTAAGATAACACACTGATCAAGGATATCCAGGATGATTAAGATAACACACTGATCAAGGATATCCAGGATGATTGAGATAACACACTGATCAAGGACATCCAGGATGATTAAGATAACACACTGATCAAGGACATCCAGGATGATTAAGATAACACACTGATCAAGGATATCCAGGATGATTGAGATAACACACTGATCAAGGACATCCAGCATGATTGAGATAACACACTGATCAAGGACATCCAGGATAACTGAGATAACACTGATCAAGGATATACAGGATAACTGAGATAACACACTGATCAAGGACATCTAGGATGATTGAGATAACACACTGATCAAGGACATCCAGGATGATTGAGATAACACTGATCAAGGATATCCAGAATGATTGAGATAACACACTGATCAAGGACATCCAGGATGATTGAGATAACACACTGATCAAGGATATCCAGCATGATTGAGATAACACACTGATCAAGGACATCCAGGATGATTGAGATAACACACTGAACAAGGATATCCAGGATGACTGAGATAACACACTGATCAAGGACATCCAGGATGATTGAGATAACACACTGATCAAGGATATCCAGGATGATTGAGATAACACACTGATCAAGGATATCCAGGATGATTGAGATAACACACTGATCAAGGATATCCAGGATGATTGAGATAACACACTGATCAAGGACATCCAGGATAACTGAGATAACAAACTAATCAAGTATTGTTTGGTAAAGGAAATAGGAGCGTATTGTCTTATGTCATTATGTTACAGTGGCATGGACGTTTAAGTAAGTCCTTTACGTCTTCTTTTTCTTTCTTTTCTTGTTCAGATAAATCACTGTATAGAATAGTTTTGGCAACAGTTCCGTATTCTTTGAGAACTCAACCAGTTGTTCTCTCAACAGAAAAGAGCCAGTACTTGTAACTGAGCTCTGAAAACTGAATAAATTAGTCATAGCCCTGTCATCTGTGTCCAGCTGCCTTCTCACACTGTTTACCTGACCTTCTCACACTGTTTACCTGTCCTTCTCACAGTTTACCTGTCCTTCTCACACTGTTTACCTGTCCTTCTCACACTATTTACCTGTCCTTCTCACACTGTTTACCTGTCCTTCTCACACTGTTTACCTGTCCTCACACTGTTTACCTGTCCTTCTCACAGTTTACCTGTCCTTCTCACACTGTTTACCTGTCCTTCTCACACTGTTTACCTGTCCTTCTCACACTGTTTACCTGTCCTTCTCACACTGTTTACCTGTCCTTCTCACACTGTTCACCTATCCTTCTCACACTCTTCACCTTTCCTTCTCACACTCTTCACCTGTCCTTCTCACACTGTTCACCTATCCTTCTCACACTGTTCACCTATCCTTCTCACACTGTTCACCTATCCTTCTCACACTCTTCACCTGTCCTTCTCACACTGTTTACCTGTCCTTCTCACACTGTTTACCTGTCCTTCAGGATGATTGAGATAACACACTGATCAAGGACATCCAGGATAACTGAGATAACACACTAATCAAGTACTGTTTGGTAAAGGAAATAGGAGCGTATTGTCTTATGTCATTATGTTACAGTGGCATGGACGTTTAAGTAAGTCCTTTACGTCTTCTTTTTCTTTCTTTTCTTGTTCAGATAAATCACTGTATAGAATAGTTTTGGCAACAGTTCCGTTTCACTGAATGTCAAAGAATTGAATATTTTATGTTGAACATGTTCTGATTAGTGGTGAAGCAAGATCAATTCACATGTGTAAGTGCTGGCAGACAGTGATTACAGTAGAGTAATTTTTTTATCATGTGACATTTACCTCCTCTGTTGGCTAGAATGTGTGCGCATCTATATCTGTTATAAAAGTTCTGGAAACTGAAAGCTCTCACATGTTATAGTTTATGTGTGGCCTAAATATGCAGCGAGTTTTGTTTTTTTGTGCTATGTTAATACTCTTAACAAAAGCTATTCGCTCAGCAAGATGTAGACCATATGATGCTTTTTTTATCAATAATAAATGTTAAAATAATGAATTTAGCTTTTGCTGTGGAAAGTTTGAGTGGCGATTACGGCCGTTACGTACTGGCCTTGTCAGTGCTTCTGATATGTATGGCAACTAATCTCAGAATAGAAACAAACAAATTAGAAAGAGCTTGGAGATAGCAGGGATATGATTTACAAGTCAAGTGTTTGTGAATGTCTGGGACTGCCAGTGTAACTAACAATGATTGTCTGTGGTGAGGCTATAATATTTAACACAACTGTTGGAGGGAGACAGTGTTTTGTGAACATTTGATGAAATAAGAAGCATTGAAGAGCATTGTGACAGCAGGAGAGGAAAATGTTGAGAGAAGTTCTGCTGGGTGGTCTAAGATACTGACCTGGAGATATATCAGTAGAATCGATTCAGAACACCAAGGAGCTGAGATTTGTGGAGGGTATGAGAGCCTGCACGGTCAGGCAGGTAATCAGGAAATCGTGGTTCCAACTTTAAAGTTCACATGTTGTGCCATGCACTCAAATCATTACCTTGGCAATGAAACGATATCCTTTCAGCCTACACATGGAGGACAATGCTATAGCCAGCTGTTGTCAAAAGTAAAAACTTACCATGACTATTAATAGTAAACTGCCTATTCCCCATACTGACCAGGTGTCCACAGTCTGGCAGGACTAATGGTAATGATGACAATGGGTCACTTTTATCAGAACATGAATGGTGGCATTTGTGGACCTCTTGTGTCAAAGCGTCTATAAATATTGATTGTTTCATTGCTTGATTTTTTCCTGCAGAGGACGCAAGCAAAAAGCACCCATTCCCGTGTCCATGCACCTACAGAACTGCCCTAACACACTACGTGGACATCACCCAGCCACCCCGCACCCATGTCCTGGGAGAGTTGGCAGAGTACACAGACAATCCACAGGACAAAGAGTTTCTTCAGAAGATGACCCAGGCAACAGACGAGGGCAAGGTCAGGGCTGTTAGACTGTTGTGTATTAACACATGAAGTGTTTGTCACTTTCTTTTTTGTCTTACCCCAGTGATATGGAACATAAAGTGTTTATTTTTTGTGTCAACCAATTGGCATGAAACATAAAGTGTTTATTTCTTTTGTGTCTTAACCTATTGGCACAGAACATGAAGTGTTTGTTTTGTGTCTTAACCCAGTGACATGGAACATAAAGTGTTTATGTTTTGTGTCTTAACCCAGTGACATGGAACATAAAGTGTTTATGTTTTGTGTCTTAACCCAGTGACATGGAACATAAAGTGTTTATGTTTTGTGTCTTAACCCAGTAGAACATCTAGGAGGAAGTTGAGAGGAAGACCTAGAAAGAGATGGATAAATGGTGTTGCAGAAACCTGCAAAAACGATGAACAAATCTGCCACCCTAGCCACCTGAGAAGCGCAAGACAAATACAAAAGCCACGACACTGAGATACAACCTGTTATAAGGGGAGATGACAACAGAAGAAAGAAGAAGGGGGAAAATGTTCACATAGGAAGAAGGAACTCTCTAGCTTTTAAGGGGAAGAAAATCTTCACATAAGAAGAGAGAGCTCTCCAGCTTTCAAGGAAGACAATCTTTACATAAGAAGAGAGAGCTCTCCAACTTGGATGAAACCTGGCTCAAAGAAGCCAACCATACACAAATTCATACTGAAGTTGGACACACTGAATGAGATTCCTCCCCTTGAAATGGAATTAAAGAAGACAGTAATAGTAATGCACAGTTGCAGTTGTAAATCTCTCATTCCTAGCTGCTTCTAACAGCTTCCTGATTGCAGTTATAAATTTATCATTCCTAATTGTTTCTAACTGCTTCTTACTTTTAGTTGTAAATATCTCATTCATTGCTGCTTCTGATGGTGTCTCTTCTCAATAGCAGCATTAAATCTCTCATTCCTAATTGCTTCTTACTGCTTCTCAGTTGCAATATTAAATCTCTCATTCCTAATTGCTTCTGCTTCTCAGTAGCAATATTAAATCTCTCATTCTTATTGCTTCGGCTTCTCAGTTGCAATATTTAATCTCTAGTTCCTAATTGCTTCTGCTTCTCAGTTTTAATATTAAATCTCTCATTCACAGTTGCTTTTTACTGCTTCCTAATTGCAATATTTAATCTCTCATTCCTAATTGTTTTTGCTTTTCAGTTGTAATATTAAATCTCTCATTCCTAGTTGCTTCTAACTGCAATATTAAATCTCTCATTCCCAATTGTTTCTGCTTCTCAGTTGCAATATTAAATCTCTCATGCCTAGTTGCTTCTGTTTCTTAACTGGAACATAAAATCTCTTATTGCTAATTATTATAGTTTAACTCATTTTAATCCAGACCTGAAAAGTATGTTTTCCTGGAATGAAGAAGAAATATTTCGAATGTCAATGCTGTGACAGAAACCGTGATTTATTCCACAGAAACTCTACAATGACTGGATTCACACTGACCACAGGGACATCCTGGCCATCCTAGAGGACATCCCGTCTCTAAAGCCTCCCATTGACCATTTGTGTGAGTTGTTGCCACGGTTACAGCCACGGTTCTACTCAATCTCATCCTCCCCCAAGGTAAAGTAAGCTTGATCGGTTTCTAGATCTGTTTGTTTGATTGTTCTATTGATTGAAGCGGGTGAATTAGTGAATGACTAGTTAGTTACCTCATAATAGTTGATGGCTATTTAAATAGACTGTACTATCTTTGATTTGATTAGCTATTTTTTTGACAGTTTGATAACTGTTGACTGCTGGCGCAGTTAATTATTGGTTAGTTGGAGTTAATTATTGGTTAGTTGATTTTAGGTTATTTTGAACCAAGAAGACACAAACAGTAGATTGCACAATTTATTGCAAGGCATATTTTGCTGTATCTCGTCAGGTGCATACTACAGTAACAATTGATTCAAATGAAGCAAATAAATGATTCCTTGGAACTGAAACACAAAATCAACTACATTCACAAACTGTTTCACCAGGGTAACCGCAAGGTGTAGAGCAATGTTTGGTTGGTTGGCAATGTTAGTTGACTACTTGATCGTTGATTAGTGGTTGCTTAACTTCTTGATTATTTAACAGTCAATTAATTTCATGGTTTCATGTTGGGGGGGGGGGGGGGGGGGGTATGTGTGTGGGCAAAGGGGTGGGGGGTGTAGATAGGTACTCCCTCCACCTTGCCCAAGCATGTCTCACAGGCTAGGAGAGGGAAGTCAATATCTTATGTCTCCTTTGATGGGACATACTCTTTTACTCTCTCCCGACAACCATTTGTTGTAATTGTAACATATATTCTCTTTATTACCAAATGATGTGCTTTTGTGAATATCTGTGAATGTCATGTCAACCATATCTCTATGTGTGTCACAGCTCCACCCAAACAGTATCCACATCACCGCAGTCACGGTTGAGTACACCACCCCAACCAACAGACACACCAAGGGGGTCTGCACCTCGTATCTGGCCAGCAAGAAGCCGGGCGTTGAGAATGGTCACCCTGTGCGTGTGCCTATTTATGTCCGAAAGTCCCAGTTCCGTCTACCCTACAAGCCGACAACACCCATCATCATGATTGGGCCGGGCACTGGGCTGGCTCCGTTCCGAGGGTTCATTCAGGAGAGGAGCCATTTCAAGGAGGAAGGTAATTCAACAATAATGTTGGCATCTGTTGTCCCTTGAGATTTATTTTCTTTTAATCTGGTGAAATGGTGAGTCTGGCCAGTAATTGTGTGCATTTGTAAAGTTATTCTTGTGTCTGTTTTTTTTTTTAAAGGTAATTTATGATCTTGTACAGTGTAAGTGCGACTTTTTCACAAGGTAGTATAACTTGTGTTCATTGAATGTATACTTTTGTAATAATAATCCATCTTTGTGTCTGTAAAAATGTGTGTTGTTGTTACTTTTGTCTAGTAAAATCTTACTTTTTCTAATGCAGTATTACTTATGTCCAGTAAATATATATACTTTTGTCAAATTATGCTTTTGTCCAGTGGATCTGCATTTTATAAAATGAAGAACATCTTTTGTCATTGAGGGTTAGAAAAAGAATTCTTGCTTGCTACATGCATCCAGTTTTACCATATGGCTGTGAGTCCTGGACAATCGGTAGGCAGGCCAACACAATTTCTTCAGAGATGTGGTTTTACAGAAGAATGCTTAAAATACCTAGTACAGCCAAAAAAGAGCAGCCAAGAGGTTTTGAAAGAGGCGGGAGCCCGATGACAACTAATCACAGACATCAGAAGGAGACAGTCATCATTTTTCGACTATGTTATGAGAAGAGGGAAAATAGAACATGTTGTGACCACTGGAAAGATCTGTGGGAGGAGGGATAAAAGAAGACGAGAGATTATTGACAGTCTTGTTGCATGGCATGGTGGTGTGTCAGCACACGAACTGATATATGCTGCAGGAGATTGCAGTTTGTGGTGGAGAGACATGATCACCCATGCCCATTGGCAAGGCACCTGATGACGATGATGACCAGTGGATCTGTTTTGTCTGATAATTGTTTCTTATTCTGTGGTGAATATTTGTGTGAATTTAACTGTTGCCTTTTCCTTTGGAATTTTTGATTTGATCTGTCATCACTGTTGATCAGTGATCAGCATTATTCCTTCTGTTTGGTTATAAAATTTTGGTGTTTGATTTGACGTTACGTTGTAGTACAAATAACATAGCTAACGTAAAGAAATCTCAAGCTTGACTAGGAACTTTTTGATGTTGTACAGGTAAACCAGTTGGTGAGACCATCCTCTACTTCGGCTGCCGCAACAAGGACGTTGACTTTATCTATGGAGAGGAGCTTGAGGAATTTGTCAGCAAAGGTGTTCTGTCACTACACACGGCCTTCTCCAGGGACCAGGGCGAGAAAGTCTACGTCCAGCACTTGGTCGACAGGCACCACGATGAAATCTGGAATGTGCTCAACAATAACGGTCACATCTACATCTGTGGGTGAGTATAATCTGTCTACATTTGTTGGTGGGTACAGTCTATCAACAGTTTTGGGTGGGTAGGGTTTGTCTACACTTGTGGGGTGGGTACAGTCTATCAACAGTTTTGGGTGGGTAGGGTTTGTCTACACTTGTGGGGTGGGTACAGTCTATCTACACTCGTGGTTTGGTACAGTCTGTCTACACTCTTGGGTCGCTGCAGTCTATCTACACTTGTGAGTGGGTATAGTCTGAGAAGTGCAGAAGCTAGCCTGGTTGTCATCGTTTAATTAGCCGTTAAGACACATTATTGAAGTTGACTTGGGCTCCCAGATTGACACAGTGGTCTTCTGTTTGTTCTATCTGCAACTGGTATTCTGATAAGAACTCCAAATGATTCTCTGAGGACTGTGGTACGGTCTATGTCCACCACTGATCCATACAGCTTAGTTCCCACCGAATGCCAGCTGGTCAGACCTGAGATCTACAGACTGCATGGAGGGAGCATGTTTGCAGCACGTCCAGTGTGATGCCCATCCACTCACGCGTAGAGTTCTGAGTCCCCAGTCTAGAAACTAAATCTAAAATCCCAGCCTGAAAGTAGATATATAATAAACAAATAAACCTGTATTGATTGACATTCTTGGAAGTAAAAATAAAAAAGGACACATTAGACAACATTAAAATCAAACTAAATAGTTACCATGCCAGGAATCAAACTTTTCACCTGCAAATGACAACGCCGCCTCATTGCAGGAACATGTTCTAAAACACATGACGCAAAAAATATGAAATTAGCACCATGCACTACAGCGGTTCTCAACTTGTGGGTCGTAACCCCTTTGGAGATCAAACGACCATTTCACAGGAGTCACCTAGGACCATTGGAAAACACATATACACTGAAGTTATGAAGTAGCAACGAAAATAATTTTATGATTGGGGGTCGCCACAGCATTAGGAAGGCTGAGAACCACTGATGTACCAGTATATGTCTTGGGTGAAGAAATGTGTGTCTCTCTTTACTTATTCACTGTTACCACAGCTCTGTAGTCTGACTTTCAGAGTAGCTTTATATTACTTTTCTGCCTACCACAAATTAACTAGCCTGAATCAAATTCCCCGTAGTGTTCTTTGACAGCTTCTGGCAACATGGCCAACCTCTCTCGGAGCTGTAATTTACCACAACATAAGTGGAAACTCTCCATGTCAGCTGACAAGAAAACTTCCACATCTGCTACTCTGTCTTGCCCTTTATGTTCAGCCACGTGGAAGTGATCATCTGGCTTAGTGCCTCACACTGTATCTGTGTCATTGGTTCCCGTTTGTGTTCACAAAATATGCAATTAAAAACAAAAACGGTTACTCATCAGCTTAAAAGATTATAACATGAACATGATCATTATTACTTTTACAACTTCTGTTTGATATTTGTATTTATAAAACTAAAGAGGTGTGGTTAGTCTAATGGGTAGCATACAGTGCTCTTATTGGGAGACCTGGGTTCAGTTCTTGGTATGACTTTTCTCATCATCATCATCATAAACCACTTCTGCCATTAAGTGTTGTTGGGAGAAATAATTTACAATCTAGTGTGCTGGCTGGCACTGGCTGTTATCGTGACATAAAGGCATAAATGCCTTTATTTTGTAGATCCGTATTTTGGTGGCTGTCCTCTTGCTGTTGTAGCTGATCTTCTGAGATGTAGTGCCTGTGATGCTATTTGATGTTGCTGCATTCTAAAGAGATGGACTACTTGATCTACTGTTTCTCAGTGAATCTAGTACAATGTTTTGTTCCCACAGCCTGTTTGATAGTGTCATCATTCATGCATTCTTAGAGGGTTAGGTTGGCAGCTTTTCTCAGGCGTCTCATCTTTCACGTAGTGATTTTGCATATACGGGCTTAAGATAATGTTCCTGTTTGGCACTAGTGACTCAGTGTTGGAATGTAGACTTTTTTAAACGTCATGGGCACACATAAAAATTATGTCGTGCACAGTCCATGATGATTGCGCAAACCATGCGGCCCTAAATCCCCGAGCTCAGGAGTCCCCTGTACTTCATTTCTTATTCTGATTCTTGTTTCTTGACTCCTGGAATGCCTCGCTGCATCAGGGCACGAAGAGATCTCTGGAACAGGCCCTTCGCTTTGTATAAAGTGCTTCTCAGTGTCTCTGATATTTCTGCGGTCCATCTTCTGCATTGTCGCCCTCTTGGTCTGTTACCCCTATATCTTTATAACATAGCTCTCTGTGGTGCCCTGACTGATGCCAATCTTGTCACATGACCAAGCCATTTATGTTGTCTACCTATAAAGTTCAGTATTGGTTCTGTGCCGACTCTCCCTCCTGATAATAGTTCCTAAGTCGATCTTTCCTCGTTACACCTAGCATAGTACGTAAACATTTCATTTCTGAAATACTAACTCTCTTAAAAGAATGATACCTACAGGCAATGCAGACATTGATGTTGTGGGTGTTTGTGTCCCCAGTGATGCCAAGAATATGGCCAAGGATGTACACTCGGTGCTGGTGAAGATCCTCACCACCAAGGGAGACATGAGCAAGGCAGAAGCCGAAGACTACATCAAGAAGTTGCAGTCAAAGGGCCGCTACTCCACCGACGTCTGGAGCTAATCCCG